GGCCTCTGAGTCTGCTCACACTCACTCCCAACCTTGCGCTATCACCTGCAATAAAGTTTCATGGCTAACTCATCTAAAAAAAAGACCTGTAAATCTGTCTCATTATTTTAACACTTCCACTGTAGAGCATTTGTGTATTGTGCATTTAACCAGATTTTCAAGGGAAGGAATGCATGCACCTGGCAAGAAAAATACAGGTCAAGCAGGCCAGACTAGGGAGCCATGAAAAAGTCAGTCTCGGTCTTCTGCCTGCTTCTTTCCCAGAGGAATGATTATTAACTTTTTTTTTTTTTTGGTTTTTAGAAAAGCTTTTACATTTACAGAAAAATGGAGCCAGTGGAACAGAGCTCCCCCACGCTCGGTTCCTCCTATTGTTAGCACCTTGGATTGGGAACCGATAGTGACAGGTTTACTATTCGCGAGTGCCTATGGTTTACAGTAAGTTCATTTTATTTAGCTCTGTGGTCTTTGACAGATACCAAGTGTCATCCCTTCTTACAGTGTCATGTGGAATAGTTTCCTCCTCCTAAAAAGTTGCCCGTGGTTATTATTTTAAATAATACACCTAGACTTCTTTTTATTAGTTCACCATTTATTAGTTCATTAACTCTAAGTAGCATTACTGACTTGTAAAGACGGGGGAGCCACTGCTTGATCCTTTTCCCATCTCCCTGTTTTTGTCAGTTACATTATCATTTCACTCTTCAACAACTATTTACCAACGGCCTGAAGCTATCAGCAGCCACTGCAGTGTGAGTTTGATCCCCGGCCAGGGAGTGACCTGCGTGGCGTAACAGACCTGTCCTGTCTCACCGGCTACTCCCCTCAGCAGTGTATTTCAGTGGATCTGCCTGTCCTGCTCCCCACTCTGTCTCTGATGCATCCTCCCACCTACTGCACCTCTGGCCTGGACCCCAGTTCTTGTATGCATAAATAAATAAATAAATATTAAAAAAAAAAGACTCTGTCTCTGTCAGTAGAGTCTACATTCTTGAAGAGGAGGTAATAAGTAAGAAAAACAAGGAATTTTAGACTGCGATCTGTGCAGTAGAGAAAAGTCTAGAAAGAAAGGGGAGACAGGGCACATGCGTGTGAATGTGCGAATGTGAGTATAGGGGGTTTTCTAATAGGAGGGGCAACCTCAATGAGAAGGTGATATGTGAAGTGCTGACATGAGTTGGGTTATGATCTGTGGGAGAGAAGAGCAAGTGCAAAGGTCCTGGGGCAGGAAAGCTTGCCTTGTTGGAGGGGTGGGGGGGTGAAGAGTGTGACTGCAGTGGGGGGGACAGGTGGAGGGGATACAGAAGGGTGGAAGAGGAACTGCAGATCTTGTAAAGTTGATCTGAGCCTTTTGTCAGAGAAAGAAAAGAAGGCTCTGGTGAATTGTAAGCCAAGAGTGACATTCCCATACTTCAGTTTTAATTTTTTTTATGGTGTTAATATGCAGTTGATTTTGTAAATAGAATGATCTTCCATACTTTTTCTAGAGATGGGTATAGCAATTAATGACCACAAAACAAGATTTCTAATAAGGTTAAAGTCACTATCGTAGAAAATAGAAGCCCTATTACTTTTTGTGGCTCTCTGGGTCCGATTCTTGCCTCTGCTCTCCTGTTCTTGCTATCCACCCTGTCCTGGGTGGCTACCCAGCGTGGAACCAGGGCTCACGAGGAGGGACACCCAGTTGGAGACTTTCCTGCACTTGAGTCTCTGGTGCCATTTTGTAGTCCAGCCTGTTCCAGTTGGAGATCAGTTTCCCTTGGGGAGGGCAGAGGGAGAAGCCAGCCAGTGCTGGGCCATCACCAGGGGACATTCTGTCCAGTAGTTGCACGCAGAGTCAACAAGTCAATAAGAATTGAGTGAGTAATTCTGGGACCCAGCATTGTCCCAGAGGAGTGCCCCAAGTGGGGTAAGTTAGAGCTCGCCTCCAGGGTATAAGGTACCCCTGGCAAGGAGGGAACCTGAGCACCAGCCTTCCTGCCTCTCAAATGCTTCTTCATCCTCCTGATAGCCCAAGTAACCCAAGCTGGGCCGAAGCCTCTTCTGGATGGGGTTCCAGGAGAGATGCCAGTTCTGGTAGGAGAGGTTTAGAATGATCATCTCCCTTCATCCTAGGTCATGAGACAGGGGGACAGGACTGGGTTTCAAGGACCTACACAGGCCACTGGGGAGATTGATTTGGGAACTGGATGTTTGGTTGATAAAGACCTTTCTAAATTGAGTATGTCCTGATAATAATACAGGCTCCTCTTTACACACGCATCCTGCTATTCAAATTTTCTGTCTCTTGCTGTTTCTCCTACATCTAAAAGCCTGGCACCCTTCTATCCCGGAAGCTGAAAAAGGAAGTGTGGGTGGCTAGGGCATGATCAGTAGGAGCTATGGGAGCTCAGATGCTTACATTGGTATGGCATCATCAAAAGATGCTGGGTCCCCTTAGTCACCCCACATTTTCATCCCAGCTTTGCCATTTACAAAGCTGTGCGACCTTATCTAGTTTACTTGACCTCTCTGATCCACCATTTCATCAGCAAAATGAGTACCATAAAAAAAAAAAAAAAACCCAACCAACCTAGCATTAATATCAAAAACAAGTAAGAGGGTTCTGCAAACTTCAAAAGCCCGTATGACTATGAACTAAGCTGGGCCTGGAGATGGAGAGAGCATCAGAGTGCCCCAGGCCCAGTAAGGCAGAGGAGGAAGTGCCAGAGGTAAAGCAGACTTAAGTCCTGAGCCCTGTTGCCTCAATGTCAGAAATTTGGATGTGTCCAAAATCCAGACTGACACTTAAGGAGGAGCGGCTGTGGGTGGGAGGGCTAGAGGGGGACATGGCTGGCCGACAGGCAGTCCTTTGGGGTCTCTAGGGCAGGGGTATGGGGACCTGCATTTTTCTCCACTGCTGTCTCTGGGCTTCCAGAGAAACCTTTGTAGTGTCTCTTCCCTCTTGGTGCTGAGGAAACTGTGGAGTGCCCTCCTCCTCCCAAAAATGTGGCTTTCTCCCAGATAACTGAGCCTCAGGAGGTGGGGAGGGAGACCGCTCCCCTCTCTTCTGCCTAAAGAATACAGTGAATAGACACAAGCTTAGCAGTGTTGCCCCCAACACTGCTAAGGGACTCCCCACTCCCACCAGGGACAGTTGAGAATGAGGAATCAGCTGTTCCAGCTATGAGGGTTACTAAGTCTGGACACGGGGTGGAAAACTGTGGAGGGAAAACTGGCAGCTAGCTTCCTTTCCCTGCCTTCTGATTGGGGTGCTGTGGGGAAGGACACCCCTTTCCTCCACGCTGCCCCCACCCCATGTCCGTTAGGCTCTGCATCTTTGGGCAGGAGTATGGAAGCTCAGAGTGTGGGAACAATGAGGCCTTATTACTGGTATTGTTACATACCATTATTCCATAATAATCTGTTATTAACATGTCAATGAATAGGCTCTTAAGAAAAGGGGCATGGAGAAACTGACTGCATGTGACTGCCCAGCCACCTTCCCCAGCCTGGCCTCCTCTTGGGGCCCCCCTTCTTCCCTAAGGCAGCAAACCTGGGGGGAGGGGAGGAATAATATTTATTGAGACTGAGAGTTGCCAGGCCCTGTCCTGGGCAGGTCTTATGAATGTAATCTTATTCATCATAACAGCTCCATGAATAAGAATAAATCAGTGTCCCAGTGGACAGAGGAGTAAATCAAAGGGGATAATGAAATTGCCCAAGAGGACAGGACACAGTCACCAAGAGGGGAGAATGGAGGTTTGGGGGCAACACTGCTAAGCTTGTGCCTTTTCACTGTATTCTTTAGCCAGAAGAGAGGGGAGCGGTCTCCCTCCCCACACCCTGCATCTCAGTATCTGGGAGAAGGCCATTTTTTTAGGAGGGGGAGGGGAGCAGCTGGGCAGGGCCTGCGCTCATGCCTGGGGCCCGGGGACTGCAGGTTTGGCCAGCACGTGGGGGTGAGGTCCCTCCAAGAGTGCAGGGATACCCTCAAGGCTCTCGTTGGGTGAACTTCTCTTTTCTGGTCTCCCGTTCGGTCTGGAGTGGGGATAGGGGAGGAAGAGGTAAGAGACCTGAGCAGAGACAGTTGTGAACAGCTTCTTTTGTGCCCCGTGGGGGAGGAATCCAACATGGGCTTGAGCCCCGGAGCCCCTCGCCCAGGTTCTCCCTCATTTTCCAGATTGCAGAGTGCCCATGGGGAGCAGGCCAAGCCAGGAAAGGGGGCAGGGGCTGGGGGCCCGGGACTGCCACGGCCTGGGAAGCATCCAGAAGTTATCGGACGCCCACTTTGCAGTCCTGGCCGGTGCTTCTGCAGGACAACTTCACCCCTCACCAAACACGACCCCTCCCAGCTGGGAGCCGCTTTTCCCGGCCTCCCCTTTTCCCCCAGTGTCCCAGGCTAGGGGTGGGGGGAGGCATTGGTCCCCGGAAGCGGCAGACCTCTGGCCCGAAGGCTGGGGCTGTGGGTGAGCGGCCCCCTCCCGGCACCAGCCCTGCCGGCCCGGTGCCCAGCGCCTGGGGAGAGCGACGGCGACTC